TTACAATCTCACCTCGTCGTCGCAGCGCGATGTGGCTGACGGGGGTCGATGTGGGGCTGTCAGCGGGGGTAACGTCCCTCCGACGCTTATTCAGAAGCTCCGAGTAACCATGGGTGCAAGTAGGGACCGCGGGCCTTGGAAGCGGGGTGGACGCGAGGATCGTCGGGGGGGAGCAGGGGTCGGAAAGACGAGGAAGCGACGCTGATGACCGCGAGGGGGTGAAGGCCATCGCTTGGAGAAGGAGTGGCGAGCCCCACGGTGAGAGGAGGACCACACAATGAAAAGCTCTTTGTCGTGGTCAACACTTACCTCTGCGCTGCCTAGGGGCTTCTCGGAAGCCTTTGGGGCGTTTTGGAGCCCGCCCGCACCAAATCCGAATCCATCAACAGGGTAAGAAGAATCGTTGATTTGTACATCTCGCGGACCTCTTGGTCGTTTCGTGGCCAGTGGAAGGCGATGACGATGACTAGTGTCCGCTCGTTTGAGAGGTGGCCTAGGTGCTGTTTGGGCGCGTCTAAAAAGGGTATCAGGCTTGAGTCGGCTTTAGGGGGCCTTGTCGTTCACGGCGCCGCCAGGCCTACAGCTGCCCGATGACGATGGAGGACGATGACAAAGTAGGAGGTGGAGCACAAGATGCAGAGCAGGAAGCGAATGAGGACGAGCAGCAGCCGTCTGATGCACGCTCGTTCTGGAGGTGGCCTGGGTGTTGCCTGGACGCCTTCGGGGAGGGCCTCGGACTCGAGGGGGCTCTAGGGGGCCTTGGCGTTCACGGCGCCGACTGGCCTGCAGCTCGCCGGAGCGAGTGGGCACGAGCCGTCCTGGGGAATCAGGCAGCGGCCGCCCAATGAAGCGGGGGCACGGAGATGGCTGCGAAGGGGGTCGTGGTCATGCCTCCAGGGCCGGCGTGCCGCCAATTGCGGCCCACCCCCAGACCTGGACTGTGAGTTCGGGGTGGCTCGGGTACTCGTCGGGGCCTCGCGGCGTGCTCCTGCGGGGCCTCTGGAAGCCCTGCATGCCTCGTGGATCGGGGGCCTCTGGAAGCCCATTTGGGACCGCCGTGCAGCACGTATCTGAGGGCGTATTGGGAAGCTTTCTGGGAGCCCTTTGGATGCATTTGGGGGAGTCCCTGGGGGCCTTGCGGGTCTTCTTGGGGATGTTCTGTTGGGGGCTTTGGGGGGACCGGCCGGGGGCCCTCTTGGGCCCTCCTGGGGACCTCTTGTACCGCCTTGGGGGCTTGGGCCCTCTTGGGGCCCTCTTGGGCCGTCTAGGGGGCCTCCTATGGCCCTCACGGGGTTCCCTTGAGATCCTTTTGGGAACCTCTGGGGCCTGTCTTGGGCCGTTTGGATTTTCTCTTGGGCCACCTTGGAGCCCTCCTGGGCGGTCTGGGGGCCCTCATGGGGGCCTCTTAGGTTGCTTTGGAGCGATTTGGGGGGGTGGGGCAACTCGGACGCTGTTGGGACCGAAGAAGCGAATATGCTAAAATCGACGCTTCCCAAAGAGAATGCGACGATTCTGTACCTCTCGGAGGGCCCTCAGAGAAGCCTCTTGGGCCGTCTTGAGGGCCTCGGAGGCCGTCTAGAAGACGTCTTGTGCCCTCTTGGAGCGCTCTTGGTCCATTTTGGTGGTATCCCAAGGCGCTTTGGAAGCCTCTTGGGCCAGCTTGGGGGCTCCTTGGGCCGGTGTGGGGGGGTTGGGGGGGGGGGGGGGGCGTTTTCGGCTGCCCAGGAGCTCTTCCGACAGGTGCCCCGGCGCTGTGGAGTACCGTCCAGAAGGTACGGGGGGAGGGCGGCCATCTGCTGGTGCTTCTGCCATGCAGGATGCATAACTGTAGGATTCTAGATGTATATATATATATATATATATATATATATACGCATACATATATACACACACATATATATATATATACATATGTATGCATCCACACGCATACATGCATGCATATGCATGTGCATATGCATGCTCATGTGCATGTGCATATACATGCACATATACATATACCTATACGTATACACATACAAATATACGGGTGTGTATAGACACACAAACATATACATATGCCTAAGCATCTATACACATCCATATACAACTACAAATAAAAATGCGTGTACGTACACATATGAGTATGCACATGCATCTACACTGGTATGTGCATGTTCATAAACATATACAAACACATACACCTATACGTAAATATATGTGTATATAGCTATGATTGTGCATATACATACATTCAATATAAATGTGAATTTGCATGTACATATACACATACATATACACATACATATACAGGCACGTAAACACATATGCATACATACGTATAAACATAAACATATACTAATACATATACATATACGTAAACATGTGCAATTACGTGTGTATGTATATACATATACACATACACAAACATATAACTATACGTATGCATATACATATACATATACATGTGCATGTACGTTTACATATGCGTATACGTGTGCATGCGCATAAACATATGCAACAAATGCATAAACACAGACGTGGACACACACCTTTACATGTTACAGATGCATAAGCACATACCTACATGTATCTGTGCGGAGATGCATATACCTATACACATGTGTATACATAAATATATGTATGCACCTGTACATGTGAATCTATATATGCATATACATAAACATAAACATAAATATAGATATACCCAACTATACAGATTTGCACCGATATATATATATATATATACATGTACATATACAAATGCATATGCATACACATGTACGTATGCGTTTACATTATACCTATGTAAATGTACATGTATATACGTATGCATACGTGAGCATGTACATATACCTATGCATGTAAATGCACACCTACATCTACACAGCCGTATGTATACACCTATACATGTATAAGAACAAATGCAAATACATACAAGTGTGCATAAACTGTACGTATGGATATACCTAAACATGTACCTGTACATACATGTACACAAGCACATATCGATATGCATGCACGTAAACATATACGTTTGCACATTCAGACACACATATATATAGTTATATACGCCTATATGTATGTCTGTTTGGCACCATACAAACATACCATCAGTCCACACAAGCGGGGGTGCGGAAGAGCGTAACACGATCGCTCCCCTGGGCATCGGGTTCCCTGGCGCCCCCCAGGCCGCCCGCGGGCCTCCAGAGGACCCCGACCCCGCGCTCCCAAAGCCAGCAGCCTCCCAAGATCAGAGGAGCAGCAGCAGCAGCAGCAGCAGCAGCAGCAGCGCGTCCCAGCCCCTTTGGGGGCGACCATCTGCGGTGCTCGCCTCCCCTCGCTACCTCACCAGCGGCCCAGCACTGGCTGGCTGGTGCGCTGTTGCTGTCCAGGTGGTCAGATAGAAGGCTGTCTGCACAGATGAGTCCAAAGCAGAAGGAGAAAGAGCAGGACGATAAGCAGAGCAGGGGCGACAGCACCAAAAACTGCCCCACCCCCCGAGTCCCCAACCTTTGGCATATGACGAAGACGGGCCCTGCTGGAAACTGGTCCTGGACAAGCTCGTCATACCGAGTCGTTTTCTGATGGTCCAAGAGCGCGTGGATTGCCCCAGGAGCCCGAAAGCAGCCCCCGAACCCTCCAGGACCCGTTTCCCGGCCCTGGCCCTTCCACGACCCGCTCCCCGCCGACCACCGTGACCGCGCGCACGCCGCCGGACGTGCCCGAGGCCCACAGGCGCTCGCCGGTCGTGGAGCTGTAGGCGGCAAGCCCATCTGCGCTCGGACCCCTCTCCTTCGAGAGCACCAACCCCACACCTGCCCCAGCCCGCCGCTGCGCTTCAGACTCTTTCCCCTCCCCCTCCCCGGCTACTTCCCCTCGCGCTGTCCCTATCCCCCTCCACCCGTCATGGCCCGCTTCCCCTTGTCCGTGCTCAACCCCCTCTGCTCCCCTAATAGTCCTCCCCTGATCCCACCACTTCTTCTCCCTCCCCCTCCTCTCCTTTTTCTGCCATCCCTCCCCATGCTGACTTCCCCCGCTTGTGGGTGGGCGAAAGGGAAAGAGCTGGGTTGTGTTGGTTGTCGTGGTGGTGGCATGTATACTAGTAGTGATAATAGTAAAAGTCAGCATCATAGTACAGTGCTGACAAAAAGAAGAAGAAGAAGAAGAAAAGAAGAATAAGGATAATAATCTGAATAGTAGTAGTAGCAGTACTTAAAAATAACACTAATGATACGAATAACCAAACCAGTAGTATCAATACTGCTATGTACCAAGTGTTAACTAGAAACAGTCACATTCATAATGACCATAATCCGAAAGATAACAATGACAATCAGAAGACTATGAACAAGATTGAGAATATTGCTAACATTACGAATACGGACACGGATACGAACAACAATAATAATGATACTAAAATATACCAACCATAACTACAACAATGACAAAAGTAACAAGAATAGCAATAATAACCACCACATGCGCCGCCGCCCCACTCTTCTCCATCTCTGGGCCGCCACTGCTGCACCTCTCGCCTCGCGCCTGCCCCCCATGCCCCGCACCCCTCCTGGGACGCACAGAGGCATACTAGCACTGTATGTCCTCCCTGGAGGCGCGCGTCCGATCCGAACAGAAGGTATACACATCTTGTAGTATGTCGTTTCCCGAGCGTCGTGGCCAGAGAGCGCCTGCCACGACGCACATACTATGAGATTATAGGATGAGATTTCGCGGTGCGAAAGCCGCCCCTGGGGGGGGGGGGGGGGGGCGATGGACACAAAGTACGTATTGGCATGCTGGGGTGACTGAAGGGGAACTGGAACACACAAATAAATACCCACAAATAAAAATATCCCCCATATTTTCCCATATTTTCTGGGTTTTTGTCTTCCCCACCACTTCCCATATTTTCCCATATTTTCTGGGAAATCGACGATTAATTGTGTCTGTGTGTTTTTTTCCCTCCTGGGTGACGCCGACCTCCCCCTCACCCCCTCCAGCCTCCGGCTGCGCTGGCCCAGCCTGGGCCCGAAGAACGCTCGAGGCTGGCCCTTTGGCAGGCTCGAGCGCAGGCTCGGTTCGGACCCCGCTCAGCCTCGGACTCCGGCGGACTCGGACCTACCTCACACACGCCAGGCTCTGGTGGGCCACTCGTTCCAGGGGTGGGCGAGTGTTCAGGCCGCGGGGGAGGGAGGAAGAGGGAGAAGAGAGGGGAGAGCGAGGGAGGACCCAGACATCCGACGATCTAAGTTTGCCCCATGCTCGGCCCCAGAGGTCCAGACACCCAAGTCTGTCGCACCAGCTCCATTGCTGATGACCCCAAGACCCAATAATAGCCCTCAGACCCGAAGTCGAGGAAAAACACGGGGATAGAAAACAATGCAAAAACACCCATACGGAGAGAGAGGGGGACCAAAAAAACATCCAAATTAATATATATATATATATATATAAGAGGGGAGATATCTGAGGAGGGAGGAGAAACCAGGGAGGATGGAGGAGGGACGGACAGGGGGGGGAATGTGGCAGGCGTGCTCTTCCCGCAACCCGCCCGTCCTTGCCCACGTACACGCGGCCCGCGTGGCAGGCCGCGGTGGCCGCGGGCGAGCCAAGGTCCCGGGACCAGCGCGGCTCGCCGGTGGTGGCGCTCCAGGCGACGAGCTCACCGCGCCAGCTCCCGGCGCCCTGGCGCGCGTCGAAGAACTTCGTGCAGGCGATCAGGACGCGCGGGCGCCGCCGAGAAGTGCTCCCCAGCATACGGTTCGGTCGGGCGTGTCCTTCTACAGGGGGATTTGGAACGAAAAATAGAATAATCAAAGAAGATTCAGAAATGGTCAAAAAAAATCGTCCCCTGGACTATGTTTGAATACTCCCTCTGTAGAGGGACAGGCCCAACTTAAGCAGACAGTCGAGCTCGATCGGAGGGGACACGCAAGAGGCCACGAGACCCTTCCGAGGGCCACATTGCCACAGGAATGTGGAAGGTATGGGCCGACCTTCTGATCAAACTCGGCTGCATCTCTCCAGGGGGGGGGGGGGGCTGAGCCCCCGCGGCGCCTGACTTTGCGACGCCGGAAGGAGGAGGAGGAAGAAGAGGGAGGATGGGGAGGAGGAGGAGGAGGGAGGGAGGGAGGGAGGGAGGGAGGGAGGGAGGGAGGGAGGAGGGAGGGAGGAGGAGGGGAGGAGGAGAGAGGAGGAGGAGGAGGGGGATGATGATGTGATGATGATGATGATGATGATGATGATGATGATGATGATGATGATGATGATGATGATGATGATGATGGATGATGATGATGATGATGATGATGATGAGATGATGATGATGATGATGATGATGATGATGATGATGATGATGATGATGATGATGATGATGATGATGATGATGATGATGATGATGATGATGATGATGATGATGATGATGATGATGATGGTGATGGTGGTGGTGGTGGTGGTGATGAGGAGGAGGAAGAAGAAGAGGAAGGCCCCCTGGGGACTCCCGAGTGGCGCGGTGTGGACAGGAGGGGGGAGCCTTGGGCCCAGAGCACCCCCGGCAGCCCCCGAGGACGCCTTCTGCGCAGGCCAACCACCGGACCATGCCCTTGACCCGGACCCTCCACAGCTCGCACCCGCGGGCGGGCTCCCACGCGAGGACCTCTGCAGAGGGCAGGACATCCACCCCCATAAGAATCACCCCGACAAGCGAAGCCGCTTAGTAAACGCACCCAAGGAAGGAATCGAACAGGGCAGGGCTGTTTAGTAAACGCCCAGGGACGTGTAGTAAACGTCCATTGTCGGGCCTGGGTGGTTTCTCTTCCCTTGACTCTAGACACGCGCGCTCCAACACTCGCAAACCTACTACTGCTCGAAGACGTCCCGGATCCGCCGCGGGGGAGTTGCACGATCTACCACATCGGGGCAAACATGTGTTTTTCTGCAGACGATTGCGAGCAGGCACTCTGCGAGTAGTGGAACGCGCTCGGTGAACCTCAGAGTGGTTGACGGTGACGAAGAGCAGGCCCAGATCCTCGGAGGCGGCCAGCAGGAAGACGCGCGCCGCGGTCGCGATCTTCGGCAGCTCCTCCGCCGCCCGCGCGTCCCACGCGCGCACCTCCTTTCCCGCGGCGCAGTACAGCACGCCGCCCAGGCAGGCCAGCGACGCGGCCTCGTCCATGCCCAGCTTCACCTCTCGGCGACGAGCGAGGGGGGGGAGTGAGAAGGAGAAGGTCTTCTCAGAAGGCGGCGGGGCTTCTCAGAAGCCCGAGCGCCTTCTGAGGGGTTACCTGCGTCTTCGGGGAAGGCTTAGAAAACTTCTCAGAAGGCCGGGGGACGTCCGAGCCTTCTGAGAAGGCCCGCCCCTTCTCACTTCCCCCACGGGCTCGCCGCCGAACCTCCCTGTTCCACAGCTGCCCCGCGCTGCCCGCGCTGCGCACGAACACGTCGCCCAGCGAGGTGGCGCCGCACACGAGCCCCTCGCGCGCCGCACAGGCCAGCGAGTCCACCGTGCCCTGCAGCTCCAGCCGCCAGGCCAGCCGACCGCTCCCCAGCTGCAGCGCGAAGATGCCCTCCGCGGTGCCGCCGCAGACAAGACCGCGACGGTGGGCGCCGTCGTGACGGCGGCGCGCACGCGGAGGTGGCGCGAGGGGAGCGGCCATCTGAGAGGGCGGGGGGGGGGCCTCTTGAAGGCCATCCCGGCTCCCAAGAAGCCGCCCGTTGGAGGCATGTGAGCCCCGATGTGGCGTGGTGACGCGAGGAGTCCTTCTCACGCAAGTGATGGTGGTGGTGGTGGCGCTGATGACGAGGACGACAGCAGCCACGGTGACGATGCCGAAGACGAAAACCGCCTGCCCGCGGCCTGCTGCCAGCACTCGTCGGGACCTTGCTGGCAGAAGCCGACCGGTCCTCACGGCCAGTGCCGCCGACCCTGAAGGGGAGCCCGAGGCGTCTGGGAGGCAAGGGATCGAAGGGGAAAGCGTCTCCCAGGGAGGGGTACTCCTCCACTGGGGGGGCAGGGGGGGTCACAAAACCCCGAAGGTCCAACCTGGACTTCCACTGCCCCCCGCGATCCCGCGACCCCGCACCTCCGGCGGGAAACCGTGCGGATCCGCGGGGCCTCCCCCCCTCGCCCCCTCGGCAGGCCGCCCGGCCCACCCCGCGCGCCCCGCGCGCGCCGCCGCGTCCGTGCCCGCCTCCGCCCCCACGAGGTGCCGCACCGCGCTCCGGCAGCGCGCCCTCCAGGCGCGCTGGCCGCTGTCGGCCCGCAGCACGTCGAGCCTACAGGGCAGGTTTTCATGAATGGGATTTTTGGTTATAGAAGATGCTTAATACATGATTCATCTACTACTCAATCAATGCATCATTGCACCGTTGCTTTTAATACTGAATCCCTGCATGTTTCGTACATGATCCGCACGCGGAGCATGCATTCAAAACGGCACCGTACGGCTGGGCACTTTGAGACAGCGCGTGGCCACTGCGGCGCCGGCGACGCGCGCTGCCCTGTGCAAAAGACGAGCGGCCGGCGCAGCGCTCCGCTCCGCGGGACGGAGCGCTCGGAGGCGCCGGGCGCGCGGACGCCTCGGAGCTGCCGACTGGACAGCGTGCCGCACCGGGGCGCGGTGGGCCAGAGCCGGCGGGGCGACACGCCATGCAGAAGTTCCCGACCGCAGATCTTCTCCGTGCCAGAATGAGGGGGCACGACAAGAGGGGAACTGGCACAGGGGAGGGAACATCGACATGGAATCGGCGGCGCATCACCGATGGATCGGCGACAGGCCCCCGATACTGCATCGGCACGCTCCTGGGCAGGTTGAAGCTGTTCGGCACCTGTCGGCGATCAGTGGGCGATCGGGAGTCGTTGCATCCCCCCCTGTGCCTACCCCCCCCTGACAGAAGAGCTCAATTCTCGGAGGTCCGCGCGGATCTCCGAGATCGGCGCTGCTCCCCCTCCCTGGCGCGGGGAGCGCGCGGGGGGCGGCGCTGGAGGCGTCGCCAGGGGCGAGCCACGCGCCAAGCCAAGAGAGCCGCGCGGACCTGCGAGAGGTTGTGCCTCGGAGCATGGCGAGCTGACCCGACGAAGCTCAGCATCGGTCCCGAGACCCCCTCCTGGGGCCCAAAGGCACCAGCTGTCCGAGCTGCGTCCAGCCGCGGCGACGAGGGGGCCCCCCGAAGGCCAACCAGCGTTGTCTCAACTCGCCCATCCGACGTTGCGAAACACTGCAACGTCGCGAAGAATCACGACCAGAGCCCCAAACCCGTCTTTCTGCTGCACTTTTCGAGCTGGATCGACTTGTGATTGCCTTGGGGCCCGAAACCGGTCGAAAACGCCCGGCGGGACAAAAATGCAACGCAGAGATCTCGGGGGATGCCAGCCTCAAGGCCTCCTTGCTTGCTTCGTCCTCCTCCGAGTGTCTGTGTCTGCGATGCTGTGTCCGGGAACGCACGAACCCGGGCCAGCGCAAACCAGTCGGCCGCGGCCCCGTCGCAGAGCCCGGCCAGATGCTCAGGATAGCTCCCAAACCCAGGCCAACGGAGGGCGGAGAGAGGGGTTCGGCCCCGCGTGGCTCCCAGATCCGGGTCCGCCAGAGGGGCTTGGCTGACCTCGGCGGAGAGCGAGCGCAGGGGGAGGTGAGAAGGCGAAGGCCTTCTCAGAGGGCGGCGGGGTTTCTCAGAAGCCCTCGCGCCTTCTGACAAGGCAATTCTGCCTTCGGGGAAGGCTGAGGAGACTTCTCAGAAGGCCGGGGGACGTCCGAGCCTTCTGAGAAGGCCTTCTCCTTCACACTTCCCCTCCCTCGCTCGCCGCCGAATTAACGCTGACCCCCGCCACAGCCGAAGCACGGCCACAAGAACGTGCAAATCAAGAACAGGAGCCCCATGCGCCGAGAGCCCAAGGCCCCACGGAGCTATCCAAAGCGACGAGCACTCCAAGGTCGAGAGCTCGACGGCGAAGAACGCAGGGGCGCCCCATCCTAAGCTACGATTGCTCTTAATCCCCGTGACAGCTGCACATGAGCCCCGATTTGGCCGGTTCCGGAAACCCTGAGCCCCAAGATGTTGCCATCTCTTGGAAGGTCGACTTCTGCTACAGCCGGCTTCCGCCGAGCCTCCGCCGGCTTTCGCCAGCGGAGCCGCCGCCGTTTCGCTTCCGCCGCCCTCCGCCGCGGAAGGGGTGGCAACTCCTTCGGCTCCTCGAAGGCGAGGCCCCTCCTGGAAGGCCTCCTCTGTTCGGAAGGCGAAAACCAACCCCCAACCCCCGGTCCCGACGCCCATCCCCGAGCCGGCGATTCAAGGGGTCGGGACTGGGAGTAGGGGCGTTTCCTCCACTCCAGGATCCCGAAAAACCACCCCCACCCCCAGTGCCGACCCCCTGGCCCGCGGCTTCGGGGATGGGGTCGGGACTGGGGGAGGAGGAGGAGGAGGAGGAGGAGAAGGAGGAGGAGGAGGAGGAGGAGGAGGAGGAGAAGGAGGAAGAAAAGGAAAAAGCGGAGGAGAAGGAGGAGGAGGTGGAGGTGGGTTTTCACCTTCTCACAATTTATCTCCCCCGAGGACCAGCCGCCCCCGCCCGCGCCCTCCCAGGCGAGCAGCACGGCGGGCGTGCCGCCCAGCAGCGCGAGGCGCACCGCCCGCGCGGAGAAGGCCGAGCGGAAGGCCGCCGCGAGCGCCCCGAGGCGCGCGGCCGCCGCGCCCAGGGCCCGCACGAGCGGCAGCCCGCCACCCAGGCCGCCGAGGAGCCAGAGATCTCCGCGGCGCACCTCCAGGAGGCCTCCTCCTCCTCCTCCTCCTCCTCCTCCTCCTCCTCCTCCTCTCCTCCTCCTCCTCCTCCTCCTCCTCCTTCCTCCTCCTCCTCCTCCTCCTCCTCCTCCTCCTCCTCCTCCTCCTCCTCCTCCTCCTCCTCGCTCTCCTCGCTCCTCCTCCTCCTCGCGCTCCTCCCTCCTCCTCCTCGCTCCTCCTCCTCCTCTCCTCCTCCTCCTCCTCCTCCTCCTCCTCCTCCTCCTCCTCCTCCTCCTCCTCCTCCTCCTCCTCTCCTCCTCCCTCCTCTCCTCCTCTCCTCCTCCTCCTCCTCTCCTCCTCCTCGCTCCTCCTCCCTCCTCCTCCTCCTCCTCCTCCTCCTCTTCCTCGCTCCTCCCCTCCTCCTCCTCTTCTCCTCCTCCCGCCTCCTCTCCTCCTCCTCCTCCTCCTCCTCCTCCCCTCCTCTCCTCCTCCTCCTCCTCTCCTCCCTCCTCCTCTCCTCCTCCTCCTCCTCTCTCCTCCTCCTCCTCCTCCTCCTCCTCCTCCTCCTTCCTCTCCTCCTCCTCCTCCTCCTCCTCCTCCTCCTCCTCCCTCCTCCTCCTCCTCCCTCCTCCTCCCCTCCTCCCTCCTCCTCCTCCCCTCCTCCTACTCCTCCTCCTCCTCTCCTCCTCCTCCTCCTCCCTCCTCTCCTCCTCCTCCTCCTCCTCCTCCTCCTCCTCCTCCTCCCCCTCCTCCCCCTCCGCCCTTGTCGGGCAGCTCGGAAGCATCCAAATGCGAGCCCCCCCTCCCGAGACGCCCAGAGCCGAGCGCTGCAGAGGTCGAGCCCCATATGGGCCATGGCCCATAGGGGCACGGCCCGCCTGGGAGCCGCACGCAGGAGCGCCTTGTACGGCAGGTTCGCGCGGCGTCGGCGCGCGCAAAGGTGTTTCACACAACGTCGGTCGTTCAGCCTTGCATCGATCGCGGCCCCGATCGTTCAGGGTCGAGTTCGGTCGGGTCCAGTGACGTGACCGTGTCCAAATCGGTGTTTCAGCGTCGCAGAATTCAACCTTGAATGCCTTCGCTGGCGTCGCCCGTGCGCCATCGCCGCATGAACCTACCGTAGATGAAGTCAGAGGATCGCCCCGCATCGGCGACGCACCGCCGATGCACCCGCGACGTCGGCAGTGCATCGGCGCCGTGGCCGCGCAGAACATCGGGCCCCACATCCCACCGCAACGGCGATGCATCGTCGATGCAGCGCGATCCTCCGACATGTATTCGGACCCCAAGTGGGAGGCCAAGACTCGGCGGCGAGCGAAGAGGGGAAGTGAGAAGGAGAAGGCCTTCTCAGAAGGCGGCGGGCCTTCACAGAAGCCCTCGCGCCTTCTGAGATGTTTTCTGCGCCTTGAGGAAGGCTTAGAAACCTTCTCAAAGGCCGGGGGACTTCCGAGCCTTCTGAGAAGGCCTTCTCCTTCTCACTTCCCCTCCCTCGCTCGCCGCCGAATTAACGCTGACCCCCGCCACAGCCGAAAGAACCTCTCGGGGGGAATATGAGCCCAGCCATGCTCGCGCCGTGAACAACAACAAAAATACGGCTCTGAAGGGCCCTGGCTGGACGACAACGCTGTTCTCAACGTTCCCTTATGTTTATTCTGCGAAATACTAATGTATGGCATGTTCTATCGCATCGTGTTGACACTGCTAAGGTTGATGGAACCATTAATGGATATGATTATGACGATGACGATGACGATGGCGACGAAGATGACGATGGTGATGACGGTGACGATGATGACGATGATGGCGATGATGGCGATGATGGTGATGGCGACGATGATGATGACGACGATTAAGATGGTGATGATGATGATGATGATGATGATGATGGTGGTGATGATGATGATGACAAAGACGATGACGACGACGATGACGATGACGATGATAGTGAGGATGATGAGGATGATGAGGATGCTGAGGATAATGAGGATGATGATGATGATAGTGGTGCTGTTGTCAATGATGATATTGATGATGAAGATGCCGATAGAACCCGAGAGTCTCTCTTTCTCTCTCTCTCTCTCGTTCTCGCTATATCTGTCTCGCGCGCGCATCATTTTGCTCGTCCATCTCTGTGTCAATATCTCGCCCCTCTCTCGCTCATGATGTATGTCGTTTGGTATATCTCAGCTTCTGTGTCGGATGGGGTAGCGGTTGCTCGCTCTCTCTCTCTCTCTACCTTTCCCTCGTACTCTGCATACACAACAAGAGTGATGGGTGAAATGGTGAGGGCAGTAGTTGCTGTCTGTCTCTCCCTGTCTCTATCTCTATCTCTATCTCTTTCTCTCTCGCTCACTCTCTCGCTCTCTCTCCCTTCCTGCCTCCCACAGTCTCTGCGCAACACAGAGTAGGCAATGAGAGCGAGCAGCAGCTACCCCTCACGATTACACCCAAGACACTCCACAGACAGCGCAGAGGAGGACATCGGAGGGGAAAATGGTGTATGCCTCTCTTGTTTTCCCTTTCACTATATGTTTCTCTCCGTCTCTATCCCTTTCTCTCTCTCTCTCTCTTTCTCTCTCTCTCTTTCTCGTTGTTCCTCTCTCTCTGTCTGTTTCTCTCTCTCGTTCTCTCTCTCTCTCTCTCTCTCTTTCTCTTTCTCTTTCTCTCTCTCTCGCTCCCTCTCTCTCCCTCTCTCTATTTATGTATTTTTCTCCACGTGCGCCCGGCGCAGAGAACGAGTTGTGAGAAGAAAGTGGCTGTTCCCTTACGGGGGGAGGGAAGCTTTCTTACACCCCCCACGGACAACACAAAAGGGACGTGGGAGCAGGCAGCGGCTGCCCTCATGCGGTTGCTCCATATACCTGCCCAGCACACGCACGCACGCACGCGCGACGCAGAGTGGCCAATGGGAAGGGGCAGCGGTTGACCTCGCACCCTCCGCGCACGCGCGCCCAGAACGGGGGATGGAAATGGGGGAATGGTTGTTTTTTTGTGTTATATTCGTTCTCGTTGTTTCCGCACTTCTATAATGTATGTTTGTTTCCTGTTTTTGGGACATCCCGCGCAAGGACAAGAACACCCCTTTTATCTTTTCACCCACACACTCACACACTTACATTATCATCCGCATCACCACCTCATCATCAGCATCCTCATCATCATCACCCACACACCTCACACACTTACAATCACGCGGAAACCGCGTTTGTGAACCACTTGCGAGGAAATCTGAAGTGGGAGCCCCCTCCATATGGGGCCCGCAGCTCACGTTACTAATCCGAACGGGCCATCGGAACCTTGTAGCTGTCGTCAGTCCCTTCAAGCTTGAGTATGGAGGAAGTCTCAGGCGGGAACCTCGTCTGTTGGTGAATTGCAAGGAAGTCTGAAGCGGGAGCCCCCTCCTTACGGGGCCCGCAGCTCACATCATGAATCCGAGCAGGCCATCGGAATCATGTAAGCGTCGTCACCTGTGGGCTCCTGAAACGTGAATACGCGGGAGATCTGAAGCGGCAGCCACGTCTGCGAGTGAATTGCTAGGAAGCCTCAGGCGGGAGGGCCCTCCCTATGGAGCCCGCAGCTCATGTCACTAATCCGAGCGAGCCATCGGAAACTTATCATTGTCGTCACTGTCGAAATCCTCAAGCTTGAGTACGGAAGACGTCTCAGGCGGGAGCCTCGTCTGTGAGTGACTTGTGAGGAAGTCACAGGCGGGAGCCCATTCCCTATGGGGCCCCCTCCCCATGTCATTAATCCGAGCGGATCATCGCAATTCTGTAACTGATGTCACGTTTGGTCTTGCGCCCGCGCCCTAGCGGCTCGCGGGGTTGTCCCAACGGCCTGGCCCGCTGGGTTGCCCCCGACGGCTTCGCGATTTCGCCGTCGGAGAACGCGCCCCTGCCGGGCGTGGCGGCGAGGGCGCCGAGGAAAATCTACACGCGCGCCACTGTCAAGAGGAAGGAGAGGCGCACGAGGAGAGCAGGTGAGGTGGAGATGAGGAGGGGGAGCAGGAGGAGGTGGAGGAGGAGAGGGAAAAGGCCGAGGAGGAGGAGGAGGAGCATGAGGAGGAGAAGAAGGAAGAGGAGGAGGCGAGGAGGAGGAAGAGGAGGAGGCGGAAGAGGAAGAGGATAAGAAATGCAACGAGCAGGACGAGAAGGAACACGAGGAGGAGAAGGACGAGAAAAGGGAAGAGAAAGAGGAGGAGGAGGAGGACGCAGAGGGCGGAAGAAAGGCCTCCGCCAGTCGAAGAAGAAAAGGGCGAGGGACAAACTACATAGATTATCATGCGGGGCCTGACCGCTGGAGTAATTCTTTACAGATACTATATGTGTGTGCTAGTCATATGTCCATCGATCGGCCATTTACCATGTATCAATGTGTGCACACTTATACACGTGTGTACGATTGTACACATAGCACATGCCATTGAATCGCCTACATATCCAAATATGGTTACGTATCCACATGTGAATACATGTATATAAAATGACGGTCTACATTTACACGTGTATAGAGATATGCGTGTACACACATAGATGCCAAACAGTATGTATGTCGATCGAGCCGGTAATTCATATATATATATATCAATATGCATGCGTATGGCTTGAATGATCCGTCCATCTCCAGCTCGATGCATCCGATGACACGCAGCATACACATATATGCATATAGATATATATATATATATATGTGTAAGCAGACATGTATGCGAATGTATGGAAATATAGCTGTCTATATACCCATACATCGATATATCGCAGCGTAAATGCATCTACGAATACAATATATATATATATATATATATAGATATACCCATTGGTATAGGTATATGTTCAACCGTATACGTATGAAGCAACTTATTCATATATATATATATATATATATATATATATATACATGTGTGCATCCATCCGTCTGTGTATCTGTCCGTAATCATGGACATGAGGCGTGTATCTTCCCATCCGTGTGTATATATATACATGTACAAAACTGGTATACATAGCAATACACCTCCGTGTATATATATATGTGTGTGTATACATATATGCATACATATATGTATAAACATATGCGTATATCCATCGAACCACGCTTGCCAGGGATAAAAAGACGTGCGAGACATTTGGCTGTCCCCCTCCCTCCTTCCCCCTCCCCTGGGGTTCCAAAATCCAATTCTACGGGGGGGAGGGAGGGAACGGGAAGACTGCCCAACAGGACCCTGACAGAGCGCCAGAGAACGTCATGACGGCTCAGGGTAGCCCCACGACGATCCAAGCTGGCTTCAAGATGGCCCACGGGGCCCCCAAGACAGCCCAAAAGCGCCTCCAGGGGATCACCGAGACGACCCCAGGAGGCCAAAATCGTCCCATTTCCAAAGTAAAACGTATATTTTCAACACATTCGAAATGTACGCTTTGACAGCGAACACGACGGCCAAAGTGGCCCACAAGATCGTCCCACAAGGCTCCAAGACGGCCCAAGAGGGCCCGAAGACGGCCCTAGGGTTCCCCCAAGACGGCCCAAGAGAGCCCCTAGAGGGCCCCAAGAGGGCTCCCAAAACGGGTAATACTAACTAAGATTTCGGGCCATTCCCACCAAGATGGCCCCTCGAGCCCCGCAGAGGCCCACGAAGGCCCTCCAAGAGGCCACAAGAGGCCTCCAAGACGCCCCCAATAAGCCCCAAAGAGGACCCCACGAGGTCCCAAAGAGCCTTCCACAGGCCCCAAAGAGTTCTCCAAGAGGCACCACAGAGGTGTCCCCAGAGCCCCTCAGATTCATCCAAGAGGCTCCTGATCGAAGATATAACTTCCACGATCGACTCAAACACACACTCCTATATTGTATGCTTACACGTCTACGTGCACCTGCATGTGAACATCCACTTGTTCGTCTGTAAATAGATATACGCATATCATTACACCATGTATTGTTTTTGCTCGACCCATGTATGCTCACGTATAAGCGTAAACAGATGATTACATACACATGTGTTTGGTGTAGACATATACATACATAAGCATGTTGCCGATCCATCGATGATTATCTACATGTATATATATATATATAGGTATACCTGTCGACAGTTGCCAGCAACGCGATGGGAAACAGTTTGTGAATCGTCCGCAAAAAAAAAAAAAAAAAAAAAAAAAAAAAAAAAAAAAAAAAAAAAAAAAAAAAAAAAAAAAAAAAACGCACAACTGTAAGTTGTTTGGAATGCGCCCGATAGAAACACATGTGAATTCTCATTGAACGAATCCGATGATGAAGGCGCACAATCGAACTTCATGTGCAACCCTGACAATAGAAATGAATTCGTACATCGCCCACAAAATGGTGCCTATGTAAAGCCAGGCATAAAGCATGCATCTGTATTCCACACTAACTATGTCAAGTTGTAAATTGCCTAGATAAGGAAGCCTCTTGTGAAGCCACACAATAGGGTTCGATGTGTAATCCACAGCGGGAATCAACTTGTGGATCGCAATAGCATGGATCCTGCTGTGAACCCACAAAAGGACTGTGGAATTCATACTATAGAAATCGATGTGCACATCGCCTACAAAAGGAGCCGATTGCAAAGTCACATCGATGAATGCTAACTACTTTGTAATTCTGAATATAAGCAAAAAGTAAATCGACTCCAACAAGACTCGCAATTATAAAGCCGCACCAACATGATTCTATGTGCACACGCAATAAGAATCAATGTGTAAATCGCCTACCCTTTGAAGGGGAGCCGGAAAAAGTTCAGGAGGAGGGAAAGGAAACAAAAATGAAATCCCCCACCGGGTGCCATGCTTTTGTTTTCTGTTCCCGGGGGGGGCGGGGCATGTTTTCAAATTCTCCTTCCTCCCAAACTTTAAAGGGAAGATTTTTGAGCGTCTTACATATTGATTCATGTTGTGCGGGTAATTAATAGAATCCTTCTTGCGCAGCCTATATATTAGGATTCCTTGCGTAAGCGATTTACCCGTTGATTCCTCTTGTGCAGGTTGGAAAAAAAAAGTCTTGCGCGGCTTTTCAATCGGATTCCTTTTGAAGGTGATTTACAATGTGATTGCTATGGTGCCCGGGTGCCCAGGCGCCTTATAGCCCTATAGCCATATAGCCGTACAGCCCTATAGCCTTATAGCCCTATAGCCCTACAGCCCTAAAGCCCTATGGCCATATAGCCCTATAGCTCTATATATATATATATATATATAGATGCCCATAGCCCTATAGCCCTATAGCCCAATAGTCCTATATCCCCATAGCCCTTTAGCCTTATAGCCTCATAGCCCTATAGCCCTATCGCCCTAGAGCCCTGTAGCTCTATAGCCCTGTAGCCCTATAGCCCTATAGCCCTTCAAGCCCTTCAAGCCCTATAAACCTATAGACCTATAGCAGAATAGCCCAATAGCCATATAGCCCTATAGCCCTATAGCCCAAAAGCCCTGTGGTCCTATCGCCCTAGAGCCCTATAGTTCTATAGCCGTAGAGCCCTATAGCCTTATATCCTTACAGCCCCCTAGCCCTATAGTCCTATAGCCCATACAGCCCTATAGCTCTATAAATGCCCATAGCCCTATAGCCCTATAGCCCAATAGCCCTATATCCCCATAGCCCTATAGCCCTGTGATCCTATAGCCCTATAGCCATATAGCCTTATAGCCCCATTGCCCAATAGCCCTACAGGCCTGTAGCCCCATAGCCCCAGAGCCCCATAGCCCCATAGCCCTACAGCCCCATAGCCCCATAGCCCCATGGCCCAATAGCCCTATAGCCCTATAGCCCTAAGGCCATATAGCATCATAACCCTATAGCCCTATCGCCCTAGAGCCCTATAGCCCCATAGCCCCATCGCCCGATAGCGCAATACCCCATGGCCCTTTAGCCCTTGACAAACTTTGATTGGGTTTTTCTCTGGTATCATGCAAAAAATCATTCTGCACGGGTACATTCGGATCCTTGGCTCGGCGAAGCAACAAAGAAAGCACAACAACCCAAGTTAAGGAGGCAAGACAAAGAAAACAGCAAAACGAAGCAAACAGGAACAACGCAAAACAACAGCGAAACAAAGAAACGAAGCAAACAAAGCAAGACAGAAGGTAAAACGCGGGAACTTCGAGAAAGACAGTCGCCGCTTGCTGGGCACCAGGACTGTCAAAAAACGACTCGGGATGAAAGGACGATCGAATGGAATGGGTCGAGATCCCCGAGGATCCACGCTGTGGACTAACAGAACGACGCGGAGGGTCTGGGTGCGGCGCTCCTGGTCTACTTTCAGGTTCCTGCCGCGTCGGCCCTGGCGTAGGCTTCTGGCACCGCGCGGATCTTTCAACCCTGACCGACCCGAGGCTCTTCGATCGCCCAATCCTTCCAGATTGACCGATCCGAAGGATTGCAAAAAAACCGAAGGATTGCAAAAAAAAAACGAAGGATTGCAAAAAAAAACCGAAGGATTGCAAAAAAAACGAAGGATTGCAAAATACCGTTTTTTTTTTGCAATCCTTCGGTTTTTTTGCAATCCTTCGTTCCAGATTGACCGATCCTGGGCCCCTGGCGGCGTTCCCCCCGGACCGAGCGGCCGCGGCGGGATCTGCAGCCGCGCCGACGCGGCGGGGCCCGGGGCCGCTCCTGGCCTGGGGCCCCTGGCCCGCTCCCAGTCTGCAGCCTCCGGGGCCCTCGGGGCCTGGGGTAGGGGGCCACATGCGAACCCTACCCCTACCCCCAACGATTTCTGAGGGGGAGGGTGGGGTTCACTTCGCTCGGCATGTGGCCCCCCTATGGGGGGCCGCCCCGCCCCGGAAGAGCGGGGGCCGCCTTGGCCCCCGGGGGGCCACCTCTGGCGGCACGCGAGCCTCGGCGACCTGGCCCCCCTCGCGCGGAGCCATGGCCGGCGGAGCGCCGCCTGCCGGGATCCTGGGCCAGGACGGCTGCGGGCCCTCCTCCTCCTCCTCCTCCTCCTCCTCCTTCTTCTGCTGCTTCTTCTTATCATCATTATTACTGTATTGTTAGTCTTTTTGTTGCGCTTAGTATTAGCATTCGTCATAGTATTGTTACTATACTTCTTCTCAGTATGTGATTAGTATTAGTATTCTTCTTATAGTAGTAGTAGTCTTCTTATTCTTCTTATCACTACAACTGTTCTCATTGTTAGTATGATTACTCATAGTTGTCTTCCTAATATCAGTACTGTTACTCGTATTGCTATGACTGTTCATAGAAGTGGTAGTAGTATGATCACTGTACTTATCGTTACTATCATGCTTGTTGTTTTTATAGGTATTGTTCTTATCATTAATTAAGTTCGTGTTGTTCATCTTGTTCTTGTTCCTGTGGTTATCATTCGTACTACTATCTTCTTACTATGATCATTATTAGTATTGCTAGGTTGTTTCTTATCCATCCGCATTTCATTATCACTATCAGCATGAGCATCATGATCATCGTCATCATCATCATCACCACCATCATCATCATCCGTCATCACCACCACAACCATAATCATCACCAACAGCATCATCATCGGAATCAGCATCAGCATCGTCAACATCATTATCATTATCATTATCGTTATCATTATCATTATCACCATCACCATCACCATCATCATCATCATCGTCATCCTGATCATCAACACCACCATCATCATCAACAGCAGCATCATCAACATCATCATCATATTCATACTCATCATGATCATCAGCATCAGCATCATCATCATCACCATCAGCATCATCATCATCAGCAGCATCATCAGCACCATCAGCATCATCAGCATCATCATCACCATCATCATCAATATCATCATCATCATCGTCATCATCATCAGCAGCATCACCATCATCATCAGCATCATCAGCAGCATCGTCGTTAGAAGCAGTATCATCATCACCATCATCAGCATCATCATCGTAATCATCATCATCCTTCTCATTATCGTCCTCCTCCTCATCATCATCACCATCAGCATCATCCTCATCCTCATCATCATCATAACCACAATAACCACCACCATTACCATCATCATCATCATGTTCGTCCTCCTCCTCCTCCTCTTCCTGCTCTTCTTCCTTCTTCACCATCAGCATCATCAGCATCATCATCCTACTTTTCCTCCGCCTCCTCCTTCTCCTCTTCCTCCTCATCATCGTCGTCACCATCTCCATCCGTAGCATCACCATCATCATCATCAGCATCATCACAAGCATCATCATCATCACCACAACCACCATCATCATCATCAGCATCATCATCATCAGCATCATCATCATCATCATTATCCTCATCATCATCAACAACATCGTATCATCGTCATCATCAGCATCATCATCAATATACTCCTCCTGCTCATCATCCTGAGGACCTCCTCATCATCATCACCATCGCCGTCAGTATCATCACCCTCATCATCATCAGCATCATCAGCAGCAGCAGCGGCATCATCATCAGCAGCATCAGCATCGTCATCAGCATCATCAACAGCATCATCACCACCATCATCATCATTAGCACCGTCATCATCAACATCAGCAGCAGCATCAGCATGACCATCATCATCAGCATCATCTTCCTCACAAGCATCAGCAGCATCATCATCATCATCATCATCATCATCATCAGAAGCAGCATCAGCATCATCATCATTCGCAGCAGCAGCATCAGCGGCAGCAGAATCCGCATCATCATCGTCATCAGCATCATCATCAGTATCACCGTCATCTTCATCATCGTCATCATGATCATCATCAGCAACATCATCATCAGCAGCATCGTTATCATCATCATCAGAATCATCATCAGGATCAGTATCAGCATCATCAGCATCAGCATCAGCATCATCAGCAGCAGCATCAGCATCAGCATGAGCATCGTCAGCATCATCAATCTATGTATACATATATGTATAAATAGATGTTCCTACTCCTCCTCCTCCTCCTCTTCCTCGTTCTCCTCATCATCGTCGTCGTCATCATCATCATACTCACCTTCATCATCATCACCATCGTCATAATCAAAATCAGCAGCAGGAGCAGCATATGCATCATCATCCGCATCATCATCATCATCATCATCATCATCATCATCATCATCATCATCATCCTCATCATCATCATCATCATCATCATCAGCATCAGCATCATCATCATCAGCATCATCATCATCATCATCATCATCATCATCATCATGATCACCATTAGCATCATCATCAGCATCATCATCAGCAGCAGCAACATCAGCATCAGCATCATCATCAGCAACATCGTCATCGTCAGCATCAGCATCTGCATCAGCATCATCAGCAGTATCAGCATCATCATCATCATCATCATCATCATCATCATCATCATCATCGTCATCATCATCAGCGGCAGCAGCATCAGCATCAGCCTCAGCATCATCACCATCAGCATCATCATCATCGTCAGCCTCGTCAGCATCAGCAGCACCATCATCATTATCATCATCATCATCAGCGTCATCATAGCCATACGTAATCATGATCATCAGAATCATAGTCCACATCATCATCAGCAGCAGCATCATCACCATCAGCAGCAACAGCATCAGCGGCAGCACCATCCGCGTCATCATCAGCAGCATCATAAGTATCATCATCCTCAGCATCGTCATCATCATCAGCATTGTCATCGTCGTCAGCATCATCGTCGTCATCATCAGCAGCATCAGCAGCAGCATCACAATCCTCCTGCCCTCATCCTCGTCTTCCCTCTTCCTCTTCCTCCTCCTTCTCAGCATCATCGTCATCAGCAGCAGCATCACCATCACCATCACCATCACCACCACCACCACCACCATCATCATCATCATCATCATCATCATCATCATCAGCATCATCATCAACATCATCATTAACCATCATTCCTCATTCTCGTCCACCCCTTCATCTTTCTGTTCCTTCTCCCCCTCCTCCTCCTCCTTCTCCTCTTCTTCCTTCTCCTCCTCCTTCTCCTCCTCCAGCACATCCTCATCCTCCTCCTCCTCGTCCTCCTCCTCGTCCTCCTCCACATCCTCGTCCTCCTTCCCCTCCTCCCCCTCCTCATTCGTGCTGCCCCTCCTTCTCCTCCTCGTCCTCTTCCTCCTCCTCCTCCTCCTCCTCCTCCTCCTCCTCCTCCTCCTCCTCCTCCTCCTCCTGGCCCTCGCGAAGGCTTCTGCGCACCGCGACAACGGTCGTCACCGCGGAGCAGGCTCCGCGGGGCGAAACTACGGTCAGCTCGATGCCCAGTGCCCCAGCAACACTCCCCCCGCGGCGCCGCGAAGCAGGGCGGCACCCGCAGTGGTCGCGAGCCTCCGCCAGGGGGCGGCGGTGGAGGCCCCGAGCAAAGCTCGAACCGATGGCGATCACAAATCCGGGCCGGGCGGGGTAACGGCGCGACGGCGAAACCGCAGCGCCTCGAGGAGGGCGGCGGCCAGAGGACGGCGACGGCGACGGCGACGGCGACGGCGACGGCGACGGCGACAGCGACGGCGACGGCGGGCGGCAGCGGCGGCGCGGCGGCGGCGGCGACGACGAGACGACGTCGACGGGGGGGAGGGGGGGGGGGTGTTGGGGGACGTCGACGGCCACGCGACGGCGACGGCGGATCGGCGACGGCGACGGCCACGACCGACGCCGACGGCGACGGCAACGGCGACGTGCGGCAGCGGCGGCGCGTGGGCAGAGGGGGAGGGCCGGGTGAGATGCGCCGCGTCCTGCAATCCCACCCGTTTCCTGTTCCACTGTCCGGGCCCATCTATCCGGACAAAACGAGGCGGGGGGCCTTGATCCCCAAGGGGCGAATGCAGTTCTGACCAATCGTTATCGTGAGCATACAGAAAGGCGGGTTCGGTTCACTGGAGTTACGGCTGTTTGATGATGATGATGGTGATGATTTGATGATTGATGAGGTGATTGATGATGATGATGCTGATGATGATCGATGATGATGATGTTGATGATGAAGATGATGATGTTGATGATGAGGGGGAGGAGGAGGAGGAGGAAGAGGAGGAGGAGGAGGAGTGAGGAGGAGGAGGAGGAGGAGGAGGGGAGGAGGAGGAGGAGGAGGAGGAGGCCTTGCAGAAGGAAGGAGAGGAGGACGAGGAGAAGGCAGGGGCAGGAGTAGAAAGAGCAAGAGAACCAGGTGGAGAGAGCGCGATAGGAAAGAAGCGTAACGACAAAGACGAGGAAGGACTCAGATCCAAAAGTGTGGCCCGCGCTGGGGCGAGAGCACCAGGTCTCAACAGTAGGAACAAAGCACCGATCCAGAAAGCTCTGCCATCCTCACCCTCCCTCCTGCGCCGAATTCCTCCTCTTCCTCCTCCGCCTCCTCGTCCTGCTCCTCGCCCGCAGCTTCAGCTCCTCGCCCGTAGCCTCAGTTCCTCCTCCTCCTCCTCATCCTCTTCCTCTTCCTCCTCCTTATAGATAACTTCCCCCTGTCGCACCCCGAGGCCAGTTTTTAGGGCGGGCCGGGCGTTTCGCCTGAGATTTCTTCACCTGTCATGACTCGGAAGCTTACAAAAGTGGCAACAGCTTCACAGATGGAGGGCGGGTATTTTCCAATGTGCGCTATCACTTTATTTCCGCGCACATTCGATCCAAAAAATTGCACGAACTTCACGGATTGAGGGCGGGTGGTTTTCAAAATGTGTCCCTCGCTTTAGCGCGGCGCGCAATCGTTTTAAAAGTTGCAATAACTTCACGGGTTGAGGACGGGCGGTTTCAAAATGTGGTTTTCGCCTCAGCGCCACGCACATTCGTTTTGAACACTTGAAAGAGTTTCGCGGATTGAAGGCGGGTCCGTTTTCAAAATATAGTTTTCGCCTGAGTGCGGCGCACACTTGTTGTCAAAAGCTGCAAGAACTTCACGGATTTGGGGCGGGCGGTTTTCAAAATGTGGCCATGCCCTAGCGCCGCGCACATCCGTTTAAACA